ATTGCCACAGCTCGTCGCTGTTGGCTCTTAGCCAGGAGGCCCTCAAGGGGACTCTACATTTGGTTGTCTATCCTTGTCATCGGCGTGCCGTGACATTAGAATAAGACTGACCTTTTACGCCCCTACCAAGTGTCTAACACTGGTAGCCGCGCATTTTCGCCCAGAGATACATCCGCCCAGGGCAGGGCTTTTTCCACACCACTTCCCTCATACACTTCCTCCGCGTCTCTACCGCCTAAGCCGCTTCCTTCCTTCAAAAGGAACAGCGCTGCACCGACCGGTAAAGCGTCCCAAGTACACAACGGTATCGTTCCGCCCAACGGACGCTACCACCCGTACCAGCGCGACCCTCGCTGCACGCACCGCCTAACTCAGGGGAATCTCGTTCGAGCAAAGTCCCCTTCAGCCGGTCCGCAAGGCATCACAGCTGAGCGCCGCAAACAAGAGTGCAAGGTTAGCCTTTGGCTCGAAGGAATTCCAAAAGACGCGCTTACCCCATTCATTCCTCTTCAACCTCCTCACCCCTACGCTACATTCCCCGCCATCGACGTCCTCAACTTCGCACTCGCAAAGAGTTACCATCCTCGAGGGATCCACGAGAATCCCAAAGGCACTCTCCCCGAGAATATTGCGCCAACTGTATACGCTACTATTCAGCGATACAAAGTCCTGCAGCAGCCTCACATCGCGGCCAAATTCACGGAAGAGCAGTTGAAGTGCCGAGACCGAATTCTTCGACACCTATCCGTCATAAACGAGCGCATAGGAGCCGGGCACGATTTCACATTCGTCGACAGGCGCATCGCTATTAAGCTTTGCGTAGGATTAGGAAAGATTTCCTTCAAGGGAATCAATAAGGAACAGGAGCGTGTAGGAAAGGAGATAGTGAAGTTTGAGAAGGAGTCGTGCTACTGGCCTTATTAGGACCAGTAATATTTTTGTATCCAAGTTTCATGCCGAGATACGCAATCGGCTTTATATACCAGAATTACATTGTGGACTTCTATCGCCCGGCGCAGGGACAACTCACAGTCATCTGCACCGCGTACTTCATCTATCAACCTCTCGTCACCAATTGGCAACAAGTACTCTACCACTACACGGTACAAGTACACGCCTATACCACCTACTCGGCACCATTCAGGCTCATCCCTGATCTCGAGGAAGAGCGAGAATATTGGCACGACCGAGCGGAAGCTCTACGGGAGGAGTTAGAAGCAGAAGGACTCATCGAGGAAAATTCCGAACCCTTCTAAGGCAGAGACCGAGGATCAATTTACACATTGTCCGTCACATCCTTTCCATTATCCTCGACATCAATCCCCATGTCTCAATACAACCTTGGAGGCGTTTCGTTCCCCGGAGGACACACAATGAGTGAGCCTGCTGACCCCTGGAGGAGTCAGGCCACTTCCACATCATCAGAAGCAGGACCAGCTGTCCCTGCGGATGAACCCCATACTAGCAGCACACCCAAGGCGTCGGGAGTAGTCAGAAACCCGTCGCCCACTACCCTGCCAGCATTTGCCACACCTCAGACTTGGGAATGGCAGGGAGTCCCTTACGCAACCATTGAGGAAGCTGCCGATGCCGCTGCACCCAACACCATTCCAAACGACGTCAAGGAATGGGTAATGAACGTAGTACGGTCATTCGTCATGAGAGACGTTGTAAGCTCGTACGAGGCTTTACGTCAGAAGATGGATGAGCGACACGAGCGCACGGTAGCCTCTTTGGAAGAAGAAGTGATCTCTCGTATCCACGTCGCGATAATGGCGGAGGAAACGCGAGAGCAACTACAAACCGCCAGAGCACAGATTGGCGCCCTTTCCGCCGACAACGAACAGCTCATCAAGGCAAACAACACTCTGACACTCGAAGCCCAAGCAATTCGCAAGGATTTCGAAGATTACAAGGACGAAGTAAAGGGTCAGATGGACGCCCTTTACGGCAACATGGTCGCCCTGAAGGAGGCTCAGGAAAAGACCACCACTTACATTGTTGGCTTAGAGTCTCGACTCAACAATGCCATCATCAATGCGCCCTCCACAGGTATCCTACCACCGGCCGGCCAACCCAGTCAATCGCTCCGTCGAATCAAGCTCCCCGATCCTCCCAAGTATTCAGGAAGGAAATCCTCGGAAAACTTTGAAACGTGGTTCACGAACCTACTCATCTGGCTCGATTATAACCACTTCACGGACGACAAGGACAAAATTCGACAAGCCAACGTGCATCTGGAAGGTGGAGCTGCTCTATACATGAAAGAATATGCAATCAAGCTTGCCTCCGGACAAGATGTTGGCACATGGGCAGAATACACCAGAAAACTGGAAATGGCATACAAGACGCTTGACCCCAAGCGCACGGCACAATCCCTGCTCGACGCACACTGCGCCATACGCCACAAAACGATGATTGCCTTCGCAGAGAATTTCAGGGCTTACGCCCCCGAATCAGGATACTCTGACGAAGACCTAATCGTCAAAATCAGGGAGCAACGGTCGACCCATATTCAAACGGTCATGTCGGTAACGGAGACTTTGGACCCCTCGAAAATCCCAACCACATGGATGGATTATCTCGAGTTCTGTCTGGAGATAGAAATTAAACATCTCCAACAAATGATGGGAAATAAGTCCACCGGACAGACCACAACGAACAAGGTAACCGCTCCCAAGGACCCTAACGCAATGGACACAAGCGTGAGAATCGCCCACGAACTATCCCCGGAGCAGGACAGGTGGCTTGCAAACAAACTATGTTTGTTTTGCGGAAAGCACGCCTACGAACGAGGAAAGCGGTGCCCTTCCCCCAAGCCTGAATACAAGGGAAAACGGTTTCAGACACGATCCGCCCCGAAACAAGGACAAGGGAAAGGGAAGGGCAAGGCGACAAACGTGCGACAGGTGGAAGAAGAAAGTAGCGCGGGCTCATCAGCTCAAATTGCGGCACTGGAACAAGCAATTGCTGCACTTCGCGGGATGAGCACAACGGCAACTACGCCACCGTCCAGTAAAGGCAAGGGTAAGGCAAACAAGGCGGACACAGAGTCAACGATATCGGTATCAACGGCAAAGGACACCAACGCGAGAATCGTCGAGATAGATGAATTCTCGGAGGATTTTCAATACGAAGTGTAGACGAGTCTGGTGTCACACTTCAGGACAATTGTATTAGTACCGTGAGAACGAATGTACCTAGCGACCATCTATATATTGCATCCGCAGGTTTTTCTAAACATTCGATCGAATTGCCAATAAGATTCGTATCACGAGAAATCCAGACAACGGCATTATTGGATTCTGGAGCATTCTCCTGCTATATCGATCAACGATTCGCTGAGAAGCACGGGTTTAAGATGATACCTCTAAACCATGAAATCCGAATCCTCAACGCAGACGCCAGCCCCAACAAGGGTGGCGCAATTACTCATCGTGTAGTCACAAGCATCTTAATCGGGGGGCACCGATCAACCGAGAGTTTGCTCATCACAAACCTTGGACGCATGTCAATGATCCTTGGCATGAAATTTCTACAAGAACACAACCCCCGAGTTGACTGGGAACATAGAGAGGTCACGTTCTCAAGATGCAGACACACGAGAAGACAACGAGTCAAAGTATGCGAGGAAGAAGTCAACCTTCTATCGCAACCCCGGCTCGAAGATGAAGCAATTCTCCCTGACGTACACATGGATGACGGGTGGGATCAGGAAGAAAGCTTCATCAACTGGATAGACTTGCAAGACCAGGATCTTCGTAACATGGTGCACGACATCCTAGGCATAAGCAAGAAGGTAAAGGAACACTTGGTAGAACAGCCGGCAGAAGAGACACAGGACAAAGAATATTGGTCCAAATTCGTCCCTTCAGAATTTCATCAATTCGGAGATGTGTTCTCGAAGAAGAGCTCGGAAAGAATGCCGACGCGTAAGCCCTACGATCACGCAATTGATCTTGTCCCAGACGCGGCAACCCCGAGACTGGCAAAAGTATACCCAATGTCTTTACGAGAGAAGAACTCGCTCGACGAATGGATTGATGGCGAACAAGCCAAAGGCTACATTCGACCATCTAAATCCCCCTACGCTGCTCCGGTATTTTTCGTCAAAAAGAAGGATGGCTCTCTTAGACTAGTCCAAGACTACAGGGCATTAAACAGCATCACCAAGAAGAACAAATTCCCACTCCCCCGAATCAACGATCTAATTGACGGACTCTCAAGGGCTAGTATATTTACTACATTAGACCTGAGATGGGGGTACAATAATGTACGCCTTCACAAGGGAGATGAGGAAAAGGCAGCATTCATTACCCATAGAGGGTTATTTGAACCCACTGTCATGTACTTCGGATTCTGTAATGCTCCTAGTACTTTCCAAGCCATGATGAACGACATTTTAGGCGATCTCATTCGCACGGGAAAGGTGGCAGTCTACATAGATGACATTATCATCTTTACGGATAACCAGGAGGAACACGACCATCTGACCAAAGAAGTCTTACAACGACTCCGAGACAATGA